TTCAAGATTCTTAATTGACCCATATTTTTTATAGGATACTTTATATTCCTAATTATAAAAGCAAACTTTACATTCCCATTTTATTCTCGTCATCGGGATAGAACTATAGAAGAGCGTTGTAATTTGTAATTACATTCATACATCAAACAATTCATTATTATAGTAAAAAAAAATTACGAGAATTTATTTTTTTTCTACATATTAATCCAATTTGTAGTTTGGTCCTAGATCCGTTCATGCTTAGATGGCAATTTAACAATCTGAAAACCTCGAGTTGAAACTTAGAGACCCAATTTCGTAACTTAGTACTTGCTATTACTTTATTTTCTTTGGCAAATATGAAACGAAGACTTGAATGATTAAAGAAAGGCTCAAAGGAAATGGGCACTTGAAAGTATCTCCAAGAGAACTTATTCCTCGAGACCTTAATCAATCAAAGCGATATCATATTTTATAGACATGATGGAATTATTTATTCATGCTCATTTCCACTCAAACCCTCCGCGGGTTTATTAAGTTGACACCCAAGCAAAGAAAAGACATTTAGAGAAGTCATTACTCCAATGCTATAAAGGAATTAAAAACTTCACTTAGCAGGAGAGGATCTTGAGAGAAAATCTATAACACATCCAATATGTTAACTGGCAGAACTCTTGGAGGAGTTACAATGAATTAAGGGTGTGTTTGAGCCACATTATTTTGGAAGAATGTATTTTGGAATAGTAGATTGATGAAGAATGTGTGATAGAAAAGGAAGAAAAAGTTATTGATATGATGAAAAATATTATTTTATTGAAAAATGTGTGACTGAAAATGAGTAGAAGATTGAGAATGATAATTTCAATGTGGCTAAAACATGGACTAAATAAATTTTCAACTTTTACATTGCAAGTTTATTCGATCCAGAAATACTACAATATATGGAGTAAAAAAGATAATAAAAAATATCAATTTGAAAGCTAACGTCACTCCACAAAAAAAGCCATATCACCCCCATCGACCCCAAATCTTGCCCAAGAATTCCCAAATCATCG